GGGGGGGGGGACAGGTCTACATAGGGGGGTAGGGGGTTGGGGTAGGGGCCCACTTAAGAGGGTCAGGTTCCGCTCGATTGGGTCACTTCCATCAGTTCATGTTGAATATGAATCACGTTAATCAATCCTCATGCGCCGAGTAGGAACGGGGCCCGGGGGTAACTGGTATTAAATTTTAGAGGGCGAAAGGAAAAAGAGGTTACGACGCGAATGCATCCCCGGGACGAGAGAGACTTTGACGACATCGAATTGGGACGGCCAGAGGAGGAGATTCTGTCACCGCCTCCTCCGCGAGAAGAGAAGCCCGTGCGCGAAGTACGCGGCCCAGCCGATTCCGGACGCGCTTCTGATGACCGGGTTCCGGAGCGAAAACGTCCTCGAGGCGACTTGAACACTCTCGATCGTGATGTGGATCGATATGACCGAAGCAAGCGAGACGGTTCCCAGGGCAGGTATGATCGCCGTGGTCGACCGGACGACGGCGGCTCCAGGGAATGGAAATATCGGGACGCCCGATGTGCTGAGGACGGTAGGCATGGCCGCGATGGCGACCTGGATAGCGGACGGAGCGCTGCCGGGCACTCTAAAGAAGGCTATTCCAAGGAGGGCTACTCTAAGGAGGGATATTCTAAGGAGGGATATTCTCGAGACGGTTACTCCCGAGAAGGCTACGGCAGAGATGGCTACGGCGGTAAAGACGGTTATGGGGGGAAGGACAGCTACGGGGGGAAGGACAGCTACGGGGGAAAGGATGGAGGAATGAAGGAGAGCTATTCGAGGAGTAATTATCGCGACCGAGTTAGCTATTCTCGAGCAGACTATCCAGAAGAAAGGAGTTATCGCAGTGAGCACGATCGGTGCGTGTCAGGACGGCCAGAGTACAGTCGCGAGTACTCGGATCGTCGTGACTATGACTCAGGCAGATATCGAAGGTACAGCGATGAAGACGTGGATCGACGACCCCGTCTAGACTACGTCCCTAGGTATAGACGTAACTACAATCGCTACGATGACTATAGAGACAGCAGACCTTATCGTCCCCAAGGGTGGAGAGAACCCAGCGATTACTACCGGCGAGACCGGCCCAGCTACCGGTCTAGCTCGTACAGAGACAACGATCGCTATGACCGGGACCGCCAAACGTATCGGGCAAACGGCTTTTATAGAGGTGTCCGAGATAACTCGAGCGATCCGGTGAGAGACCCCGCAAGAGATTCGGTTGTGGACGATCGAAGGCCAGTGGACGAACGAAGGCCGCTGGACGACCGAAGATGTGTAGACGACCGAAGGACGACGTCGCCAAAAACGCGCGACCCGTCTCCCAAAGGACTCCCTCCCAAAGGGCTACCACGCGGCGGTCAATCGCCGAAGGCACGCGAGAATCTGTCTCCCAGACCCCGCGACAGCTCTTCACCCTCGCGCCGAGATGATGTTCCACCCTTCCGCGCGGATAGGAGGTCTGACGAGCTCCAATTGGGCAACAGCCGGGAAGACCAGCGCGAAGTCAGGTCCGTTGTGGATAGGTCCGATCCCCATGCGCGTTCGCGCTCTTATTCGCAAGATCGGAGCCCTAGGGAGCGTTCAGGCCCTTACAGACGATAGATAAGTCAACAGAGTAATTAATTCAAAGCGTCATTAAAAGTGTGTGCATACCGCTATCGAACGATTTCGCCAGGAGTCAGACAAGCATTTTACATGGCTTATTAACCGCAAACACGTGATGAATTGTAATGAAATGGCTTCTCCGATTGAAGTAAATCTTCCGAAAGGGTCGATGTAAGTGTCTGCATAGTAAAATTTTGTTGATCTGTTCCAGTGACTCCACCGCCACGCAAATGGATAACGACATCTGGCGGCACAGCTCAATAAGTGACTGTGAGCAGTTTGTTCTCAAGGCAACGGAGGGAGAATCAGCTTCACGGTGGTGGTTTTCTTCATCGAAGTCGCTGTCTGATCCGTGGGTGCAAATTGTAATAGGCGCCTTATGCGTTACATTTTCGAGAGGAATTCTGAATGCGCTGAATGCATGTGGCGCTTACGGGACAGGAGATGTCCAGGCGGCAACCATAGTCAACTTAGGTAGTTCGATTTCGTTTGCGTTAATAGGATGGGCTACTGGGGCAGTTGTGAACGTTGCTGGGTTCCGGTTGGCTTGCTTGATGGGCACGACTACAACAACGGTCTTTTTGGTCCTGATAATGGGTCGGAGTCTTCTTCACGTGGTGCCGCTCGGAGCGATTTGGGCGATTGGACTAGTTGACGGAATCGGATCAGGGGTACTTTGGACTTCAGTTTCAACGATAACGATAATGTATCCTCCCGAGAATAAGAAGGGCTACGCCAACACAATTCTGTTTGGCGTCTTCTCCACAGGTGCAGCCCTCGGAGGGCTGCTAGCGTTTTCACTCAATATTCGCAATGTTGAACACGTCTCAAACCAAGTGGTTCTTCCCACGAACCAAGTGGTAGTGCCGAGTACGGACGACAACCTTCCGAACTCCGCGGGACCGGCGTCGCTGGGCATTTCGGTGAAGGGGTACTATTTCATGATAGCCCTTACTTTTGTCGGAGTGTTTCTTGCGACCCTGATAAAGCCGTACAGGCCGACTCAGCTATCAGCCGCGATCCAGGACAGAAGCCCTCTGGACTCCGAAAATATGTTAAGCGCCCACTCTTTTCCCGCCAACTCCCTTTCCGGATTCTTCCCCGGTTGCGCGCCCAGTGGGATCTCGCAGCCTACATCGCAGACGCCCTCCCCAATGAAGAAAGAACCTTCCAGTGCTCCCGCTGCCAAGGCCCGCGCTCATGAAACGAGCACAGCCGCCGCTCCCCCAACCGGTGCGGTTTTTGACGACTCTCTGTTCTCGTTTCCAGTTACACCCGGCACTTCATTTTCGGTCCCACCGGGCAAAGTGGATGTGCGGCAAGACCTGCGGGCGCTGTGGGAGGCAACGCAGGAACGCAGCATGCAGCTGTTGCTGGTATTTGCTTTCGCCTCACTCTTCCACCAGACCTACTTGTTCAACGGCCTGAACTACGGGCTGTTCAATGTACGCACTCGAGGTCTCAACTGCTTCATGTACTGGCTAGGGCGCATTCCCGCGGGCGTCATTCACGGACACGTGGTCGATGACTTTCGCTTCAGTGTCCGCCATCGCGCCTGGAATGCCTGCAGCCTCCTACTCTTCTACGTCGCTCTCGGCCAGGCACTAGTGGTTACCTTCTACCTCACCATGCCACCCGGCACATTCGACGTAGCTGGCGACCCCACTTACGCCGCTCTAGCCTTCGCCACCTTCTTCCTTTACGGCGGCCTCGACACCGTCTCACAGTCGCTCGCCCTGTGGCTCTTCTCGGTACTCGGACGAAACCACCCCCATAAAGTCCCTCACTACGTCGCCGTGTATCGCTCCGTCCAAGGCTTCGGAGTCGCCATGGCCTGGCTACTCGACCTCAACCGCCTCATCCCCTACTCCTGGCAGTTCTCCATCAGCCTGTTCTTCTGGGTCGTTGCCTTTCCAGGACTCGCCACGGTCCTCCGACGCCTCCCCAACGACGATGTGAGCCTCTGCCTCCGTGCTTCAGCCCCCCTCTTGTTTCCGTCCCTCTTGTTTCCTATCCGCCCCGATTCCGATCCCTTTTTCCCTCGACCTCGGCCTCTTCGACCGACCTCCACCTTTCGTCCTCACGGCCATGCCTTATTAGTGTTCTATGGTTATGGGTCCCTCGTCCATGATGTCGTGCAGCAGTGCGTGTTGGAAGCCGGCCAGCCACAAAAGCGTTAGTCTCAAAACAGGAATGTGAAAAATTGTCGTGACAGCCTAAGAAGCTACATCTGGGGGCGAGCTTAAGCGATTGGCTCACGTTTGGGGCCTTGGTCGAGCTTGACCAAGAGCCTTCTTCCTTGCCACTCCTTGTCGTTGAGCTCGTCGATCTTCTGATTCGCGAGTTCAGCCGTCTTCATTATGACGCACCCAAACCCGCGAGAGCGACCGTCACGGTCAGTTGCGATGTCGCTTCTCTCCACTTCATCATTGCCTCCGAACAGGTCCTTCAACTCAGTCCACGTGGTTGACCACGGAAGCTACAACAAGGATATCAGGGGCTCCATTATTTGTGTTACCGAACTGTCGCCGTGACGGGCGACCGAACCTTCGGCGTCAGCGATGCAGGCGGCGTTGCCTGGCAGGCAGGCAGGCAGGCAGGCAGGCGGCCTTGCCTGGGAGGCAGCACGCGTGCTTGACCCGAAAAGCAAGCATCCTTGCCCGCGAAGCACCGAATTACGACGCAGTAAATGGTGTTGGCCGGGCAAGGTCTTGCCGATTTGCTTTACATACGCTTCCATGTGCAGACGTGTCAGTGTCCACTTGCTTCCACACGTCGTGGCCAGTTTGGAGAGTGCAAGGGCTTACGTTGTTGACATAGAGTTGTCTTCCATTGGTTTCCTCGGTGGGAGGCGGGATGCGAACTTCGTAACCTCGGGTGGGGTTGCGGCGGCCTTCTCGGTCCTCGCGGACGAACATCTTGCGGTCGAAGAGCATACTGTCACTGAGGGTTTGGATAGCTCGTTCGGCGCTTTCTGCGTCGGCGTACTCCACGATTCCGCAGCCCTTACTGCGTCCGTCGGACTCGATAATCTCGACGTAGCGCACCTCACCTGCCTGCTTCATATGGTCTTTGAGGTCTTGCCATCTGACGCGCCACGCGAGGTTGCCCACGTACACTCTGCGGTTGTCGGCGCTCATAATTTATTTATGCTTTTGGATAAAGATAAGGTCGTGGGCGGGATCCGTCAGAAGGCATACGCCCAACAAACCATTTCCGCTTGGCAACCGGTCGTCCGCCCTACAATCATCATCTCCGCCATAGCCGTGCTCTCTGCCCTCTGCATTGGTCTAGGTATCGCCTCGCACACACACACACCGCACACACCGCACACACACACTCCGCACACACTCACCCAAGAAATCCCCGGGCCAATTGAATCGCGGCCGCAAATACCAACCAGCGGGACCTCAACCGGGCATGCCATGGACAGGAGCACGATGGGGGCTAACACACTGATTGAATGCGGCATGGAAATCAGGGGCTGAACTTTCCACGAGTCGATGGAGCAAACCGACGGAACGAATCGGTGGAAAGAACCAGTGTGAATCAGAGCGCGTGGCAGCCATCTATACATGCTGTTGGCTGTCACTTGTTTAACTCTGTCGCCGACAGCGACTTTCACGGAATTGACGAGTCGAATCGGCGGGCACGACCGGGGGGGGGG